CTCCATGGTCACAATAGAGGGTGGGCTGAAGTTCTTTCTAGGCAGAAATAATCTTGACCTTTGGAAGGCCCTTCAAAATACATTTAAGGTAAACTTAATCCTTTCTTTACCTAAAATAGGATTAGGCCAAAACTGGCCCAGGACACCCCCACCCTCACCAAGTGAAATAGATAAATATATTAGGATTCCTCAAATTAAGTTTTAGATCCCTACAAAACTGTACAAGTCTCATTCTTTATTAAGATCCATAAAAACTAATATCTATACTTGAGACTTTCTTTTCTCAGCACCATTTCCGGTAATCACAAGATGGCTGCTGCGCCGCATCAGCTGATAATCATCTCTGCTTATCGGAACCGCTTTCCCGAAATGGCATTCCATGGAGACCCACCTACAATTGCGGAACTGCACTAGACCCACCCTTAATCCAACCCTAAATAGAATCTATATTCTCTATTGTTAAAACTTTATGAGCTAACAATTGAAACACGTAGTCCCTCTTCCATTTACTTGCATATAACACGTTTTCAATAAAAATGCACGATAATTCCTGGCAGTTGTCACTCCTCAGAGAGCGATCTTTGAGGGGTGTCCGGCATAGGACGTGCATGAAAAGGCACCGAGGCCTTTGTCTTCTGTTCACCTTCGCCGCCTCCGTCGAGTCAACCCACCCCCGCCGAGGCTGGTCCCCGGCAGTAGCTGACTGAGAACATGCTGAAGGGTATAGAGGTCTCAGTCTGATTTCTCCTCACCTGCGTCACCTTCCTACGAGCTTCAACCCACCCCGGCTGCAGCAGGTCTCCGACACAGCACCTCCTCCTGCCCTGGCTACCTCCTCATTCTATCCAAGCTGGCCTGAGCCTGCAGGTCTTCATGGAGAGTCGGATCCAGGGAAGCCATGTAGGAGCCAGCTATCCCCACTGGAAGCCATGTAGGAGCCAGCTGTCCCCACTGTGAACCTCAAGACCTGGGGGGGCCACTGTGCACCGAGAGCTCTCCTTTCTCTCACTGTGAACCTGCAAATGTCCTTTAATATCATTTTGTTTCCTAAATTTTTTCAGGATGAAAGAAATACCTAACAGTCCAGGGGCTCTGGGTTCTGAAAGAGCTGAGAGTCAGATCCAGACTGAAGGGGAATCCTGGAAAGAGGAGCCGCGGCCCAGCTGCACCGTGATCCGGACAGGAGACCTGTTCCCATCCCCACAGCCACATAATCTCATAATGAAGACCAGTAATTACCACAGCCCTCATTAGTGTGGAAAGATCACAGCTGGTAGCTTTTAAAAATTACATACGTAGGGACCAGCAGTTGGCATAATGGCTATGTTGCTGGACTCCCATGTAGTCAACCGCAGTTTGAGTCCAGGACCCAGTGGCTTAAACTCACGCCAGGCATGCCCAAGATCCCAAGAGGAGAATGGAGGAGAAGGGATTGCAGCGTGGCTATCCCTCCTGGTCTCTTTGTCTCTCTCTGTCTTCTGGAGAGTGCACACACCCTATAGCAAAAACCTCTCCCCACTCACCAAAAAAATTACATATGTAAATTATACTCCTCTTGATATTCGGGATTAAGGAAATCATATTATTTAGATGGGCATACCTCTCGTTTTCTTTTTCTTTTTCTTTTTAATTAGGAGAGATTTTTGCTATAGGGGTCATGTGTTTGCCAGAGAGAGACAGACAGAAAGCGAGAAATCACCCACTAGAGGGGGATGGCCCCATTGCAATCCCTTCTCCTCCAGTCCCCTCTTGGGATCTTGGACACACAAGCACACGCACCCAGCATGAGTTTTAAGCAGCCAGTTCTGGACTCGAACCATGGCCGACTAGGTGGGAGTCCAACAAAGTAACCATTACTCCGTCTGCCAGTCTCACCTGCCTTGTATTTTGATACCCATCGTGCTGACAGGAGGTCTGGACTCTGCTGAGGCCCAGGTGGGGTCGTTACTGCACAGAGCAGGTCTGGACCCTCAAGTGACAGGGACTTTGGAGGAAACTGCTGCAGGGAGTCCCATCCCCACCCCAAGGACAGCTGTGTGACCCTGCCAGGACCCTGCCTGCCCCCTTTCAGAGGCTTTGCTCCTGCTCCCAGCACAGGGGAGACTCACCTGAGGGGGGCCTTGAGGGGTCAGGGTGCTGCCCCCTGGTGGGATTCGCTGTGGAGCTGCAGGCCGCAAAGGAGCCAATGCAGGAGAGCTCCCTGCCCTCCTGCCATGGCCGAGAGCAAGAGGTGGGTCTGCAGACCCAGGAGGGTCCTGCTCTCTTGGCAACGAGGACAGAGGGGACCTGGAGACAGCTGAGGACCCTGATCAGCCTGAGGATGGATCCAAAGGAACTCACATTAACGAGATTTGGACAATTACATTAACCTGCCTCGTCACTGCCTTTCTACCACTCGCTACTCCACAAACTCCTTCTTTGTCTTGTCACTACTCTAAATACGGTGTTCTTTGTTGAGTTGCTGTACAAGCAGAAATCCAAGCCACAGCTCTGAGAAGTGCTCACTCCTCCGTGTCTCCCGCATGCACATGAAATCCACCTGTTAATAACCTCCTGTTTGCTCTTCAGCTGTTCATCTGTCTTTTGTCACTGGGTGTTTTCCAACTAAGGTCCCTACAGCACCATCTGTGGCACCTGGTGACCCTCTCCCCTGGCCGCCTGCTGTCCATGTGAGGTCTCTGGAGAGACAGTGAGTGCAGCATCCCCTGTCTGCTCTGGGAAGGCAGCGTCTTCTGTGTCCCTGCAGGGGGACGTCCAGACTGA